TCTTTACAGTTTGATGTTTTGAGTCTAGGCACTCATAATGTACTGTGTCCACAGATTAATTTTATTTTCTGGTTTTGGCTATTTACAGGAGTGGGAGGATGACCACTTGGTCCTCTAGTTCACAGGTTGGCAAATGATGGCCAAGACCAGCCCATTGCCTGTTTTTGTATAGCCTGCCAGCTAAAAATTGTTTTTATATTTTTAAATGGTGTGTAGGGGGGAGTCAAAACAAGGATAATATTTTGTGTCATGTGAAAATTATCTGAAGTTCAAATTTTAGTGTCCATAAAAAAGTTCAATTGGAACACAGCAAGAGTCATTCATTACATTTTAGCTATGGCTGCTTTCCCAAAAAATACTAGCAGAAGGTTGTTATAATTGTGATGTGAGGATGGCTTTCTAAGCAAGACACAACATTCAGAAGCCATAAAGAAAAAGACTGACAGACTTGATCTCATGAAAATGAAAACCTTCTGAACAAAGTGAAACACCATAAAACACGTCAGACACTTAAAAGACAAACAAGGGAGATTTAGGAGGAGGGTTAGCCATGAAAGCCGAGTTCTGCCACAGGGCATGCACACTACCTCCTGGACCCAACCTTTTTTCCCTCTCAGGTTTGTCACTGAAAAGCACCGTAAAAACTTCTGGGCTTTATGACCCAGGTCAAGGGTTACGTCTTCCCCGGAGGGTGTGTCTCTTCTCCCCACCCAGCTGGCTCCTGCAGAAGCTGTGCTCCACCAGAAATCTAGAATCAAAGTACTTCATTTGAAATGTATATCCTTCTAGGGGCACCTGGGTGGCTCAGTCAGTTAAGCGTCTGACTCTTGATTTCCGCTCAGGTCATGATCTCAGGGTGGTAGGATGAGCCCCGAATTGGGCTCCACACTCAGCAGGGAGTCTGCTTGAGTTTCTCTCTCTCTCGCCCTCCACCCCTCCCTGGCTCATGCACGCTCTCGAGTGAGCATGCTCTCTCTCAAATAAATAAATAAATCTTTAAAAAAAATAAATGTATATCCTTCCAGAAACACTCAAATATAGCATGAGAAACACCAAGGGAACAAAGCAGAACTACGACAATTTTACTGAAGCAATAAACTCTATTTCAGTCACTAAAACTGATTAAGTCACTGCAGGAGGGAGGATGACCAACTTGTCCTGGTTTGCCTGGGACTGCCCCTGTGTTGGTACTGGAAGTCCATATCCCAGGAATCCCCACTCCCACCCTGCCTCTTCCCTCGGTCCCCAGCAGACTGGGACATGGGGTCACCCTAGCACGAGAACAATCTTTGCCTCTAAACCAGTGGCTGTTTCCTTTTCTTGGGCTATGGATCCCCTTAAGAATCTGATGAAGGCGGTGAATCCTTTCCCTGGAAAAATATACAAATTCACAGGTTCATAAAACTTTGCTCTAGATTTTACACAGATAAAAGCCCTCTTGAAAAAAGAAGACTGATGTTTAGAGATACTTTTTCTAGAACTAAACCCAAGAAGAAATTCCTCATGAGGTCCTTTTATCAAAGTGTGAATGTGGACAGTATCTTCAATCGTGATTTACAAGACACAGAAACTCTCCTCCAAATACCCTCATCCAGAGACCTTCATAAAGGCACAGAACACTTAGATCATCATTCGATGATTTCTTCCAGAAGCTGAGAGGGTGTTGTCCAGCCGCTGGGATTTCTGTGTTTTTTAAGTTTATGTTGAAAGAGAACAGGAAGAATCTGAATGCATAATTAACCTGTTCACCAGACCATCTTTCTCATAAGGTTTATAAAATTTATTTGGTATCTGCCATGCTCCATACATAGCACTAATTCTTTCTATATATTCTCTTTAATTCTTATAACAACCTTGTAGGTTGTAAGGTAGGTGTTATTAACATTATTTATAAACATGAGTTAACAGGGGCGCCTGGATGGCTCAGTCGTTAAGCATCTGCCTTCGGCTCAGGTCATGATCCCGGGGTCCTGGGATTGAGCCCCGCATCGGGCTCCCTGCTCCACTTGGGCTCCCTGCTCCGCGGGAAGCCTGTTTCTCCCTCTTCCGCTCCCCCTGCTTGTGTTCCCTCTCTTGCTGTCTCTCTGTCAAATAAATAAATAAAATCTTAAAAAAAAAAAAAAAAAAACATGAGTCAACACAGGTTGAGAGAGTTAGGTAACTTGCCCAAGGTCACCAGCAATGGAATTCACACATGCCCACCCCCAGTTCAAACCCATGATTTTTCCATTACTAGTTATTTCTCAGTCTGGTTCAAGAACCACCTGTACAGTTCCAGAGTCCTACCACAGACCTACTGGATCAGAATCCCTGGGGGTGGGAGAGGGAATCTTGTTCACATTAGCGCAGACCCCTTATAGCAGTTGGGTTACATCTGTTATTGATACCTGCTGAATCTCATTATATTGATAGCCCGATCCTTGGCAATTACAGATTTTGTGTGTTGACAAGAAAACAAGTGCTATAGATCTAAGTAGTGGGGAAATCAATGTTGACACAATGTTGTTGTTCACCTGTCTGAACAACCCATGGGCTGAAGTTCTCCAAGAATGACCTCTTAAAATAGCGCTGCATACCTTGACTGCACTTGGTAATCACCTGGGAAACATTAAAAATACTGATGTCTCCAACCCGCAGAGATTCTGATTAAATTGGTTTGGGCAGCAGGAGTTTTGAAAACCCCCCAGGTGCTTGTTAAGTGCAGGGCCAAGATAGAGAACTATGGTTTTAAGTAGTGGTTAAGTACCTATCAAATAGAAATTTTTTCTTGTAGACTGCTTGTTGCTAAATTATTTCCTCTGACAAAAAATTGCAGCCTTCAAAGCAGATTTTTTTTTTCCCCCTCAGAAGTGTGGTCTCAGGACCAGCAGCGTCAGAATCACCTGGGAACTCTTAGAAATGCAAATTCTCTGGCCACACCCCTGACCTACCGCCCTACCCAATCAGAAACCGGGGAGGCGAGGAGGGGGGAAGGGGGTGGTGGCGGGCAGCCGTCTTTTTAAACAAGCCCACCAGATGGTTCAAAGCACAGGGGAGTTTGAGAACCACTGCTTTAAAGAGAGAAGCATTATGCACCAGAAATGTATCACAAAGCAAACTGAGAAAGGACAGAGACCCAGTTAATTATTAGGAATTATCTGTTCCAAAGATTGCTTGATTGACGGTCAACCGGAGAAGATATTTTGTACTGTTTGGCCACAGCCTCCAGGTCCTCGGCTCCCCTGAGTTCCAAAGGTAATAAGGCTTAACCCCGTATTTCCTACGTGTTTTTCAGGCCCCTCCTCATGGGCTCTGTTTTCAAAGTGAGTGGAGTTATTTGCCTTCCTGCAATGTCTTTGTTGACTATCCCCCATCCCCCAACAGTGACTGCTGACCCTGTCCAGGGAGAGGCTTACAACCAAATTTTGCTGAAATCTTTTAATGCTATTTTGCTAGAGAAGGAAGGAGAAGGTTTGATTCTTGTTTTCCTAAGAAAAATTCCTGTGGTTCTGTATTTGCTAAACCACAGACTTAAGTCTCTTATTGCCTCTAGGAAGGAAAACGCCACCTGTATTTATTCAATACGAGGAGTGCGTTTCCTCCTTCCTGTACCACGGATGCAAACTGGGTGAGCACAGTCCAGTGACAAGGCACCTCCGCATTTGCCCAACCCACCTTGAACAAAGATGGGGCGACGGGCCCAGGGGGTCCCAGCAAAGACAGCTTTTGACCCTATGGGATCTTCGCAGAGAAGATGCAGCTCTTTTGTTCACCATAACTGTATGTGGTTAAGACGTGTGTCCTGCGAGACTTTTGGTTGTGCTGCAAGGATGACCCATTGTCTTTGAGTCACTTGTGCTTCGTAAGGAAGTGCTGTCCCTGGCTCGAAGGTGGAAGGGAGTGAGCGGGACTGATTGGGTGAGTCCAGCAATTAAGCAGCTTTTTTGAGTCTCTCTCTTGAAGCTGAGCTTTATCTGCTGAGTGTTTGGAGAAAATATTTCTCAAATGGTTTCCTGCTAGGCTAGACTGACTCACCATTTTCATCCAATCTGATGATGAAATATTTGATAAACAAAGCCATAAAACGAATGCTATGTGAAGCTGTGTATCTTTCGAAAACCTGCTCAGCCGCGTTTGAAGTCACCCCTGCCTCCCGGCTGAGAGGTCCAGGGCCCCGCTTTCTGCTGCCCTTACACGTCCCCCCGGTGCAGAGAAGGGAGACCTGACGCCAGGGACGACTCTTGGCAACTACATGTGCACCCTGGCTCCCAGGTGCCCTCTTTACAACTCCGGCAACGTGGGGCTCCTACCCGTTCGCAGTTGTACCTCGGACATCAGGCCTGAGGGACAGTGCGAGGCCTGCTCAGGGCCCGACCCACGGTGGGCAGAGACGTTTGGCTGCAAGGCCTCCCTACCCCTGCAGGCCTGCCATTGCTGAGGGAGGCAGTGGCCGCGGGGACTGCCCTCCCGGGAGGGTCGGACACACTGACGCCCGTCAGAGACTGACAGAGCTGGAGGGAAGGTGTGAACTGCATGAGGGAGACCGTCACGGCGTGGCTGAGGAGGCTGTTTCACCCGCTGGCGGAATTGTCTCCGAATGCTCATCTCCAGTGTTCATCCCTAGGAACTCCTCCCAAAGACCCCTCATCTTCTCCCCCCGCCCCCCCACCCTTGCTTCCTGTTCCTCAGAACTGGCCTCACAACAAACTCATTAAAGCGCCCCGGGGAACAAGGCTCCCTGGAGTAAGTTTGCTAGAAAAAGTACAGGCAGCTCAGTGAAATTTGTATTTCAGATAAACAAGCAATAATTTGTCAGCCTGAGTGTGTCCCAAGTATTTCAAATATATTAACAAACTTTGGTGTTTATTTGAAAATCAAATTTCCCTGGGAGTCCTATGTTTTTATTCGCTGGGTCTGGCAAGCCGACTTAGGAGGTGGCTGACGGGGAGAAGAGCCTGCCAGGCTGGGCCCCCGCTCCAGCTGCCCACAGGCCCACCAGGGGAGGCCTCGCATGCACTCACCATATCGGCATCTGTACTGACAGACTCCATTTTTCCCTCCCAGCAGCTCCAGAAAGGAATCGAAGTAGCTGTTGACAGATTCAAAGCTGCCCCTGATGTGCCGAAGGCCCCAGTCTGAATAGGACTCCTCAGCCTCAGGGCTCGTGTCACTCTGAGCCAGGCCACCTCCCAGGCTAAGCCACAAGATCAAGAAGCCGGTGGCCAGCTTCATCCTGAAGCCAGGTAGGTACTGAGGTCCTTCCTCAAACCCCAGCCAGTGTCCCAGGAAGTCCAGGCCCACAGCCTGCTGGCCAGATGTCAAGCAGGACTGGAAAGGGGATTATCTGGAACACTCAGTCGGTGTGTTCCCCCAGAGGTGGACTTTAAACATAGCCATGGAGGTTGGGATGAGATCAGGGCAATTAGAAAGGGCAAAGGTTAGGCAGTGGGAGGGCCTGTCTGAGGGATGGCCAGTGAGAGAGAGCACTTCAAACTGGATTCCACAGGCCTGGAGGAGGGAGATGTGGGCCCACTTGAAGGAGGCATGAGCAGCAGAGCAATTGGGACCCTGCCCCCAACCAGCTTGTTAACCTATTGATCAGTTGTAAGTTTGGTCCCTCAGAGCTAGCCTCTTGACACGAGAGCTTGTCCCCGGGTCTCGGCGCCACCCCGAAGTCAGTCACTTGTGCATGGTCTCCAGGGAGATTAGGCAGGATGTCTTAAGGGTTCAGGAAGCCCCCAGTGACAGTGGGTTAACTGTGTCACCTGTCCCAACGGTCAGGATATTGTCAGAGTGAATATGAAGTGGGCTTTCAGATTTGGGACCCCAGCTTCTGCCTTGGTCTCTTCTTGGCTCTCAGACTCCGTCCTCCAATCTGGCAGAGCTCGTGAGTGCAACTACCCACAGCGCTGGGACATTTTTGCGTCTTTGCTTCCAGCTGTGTTGTTCCCACTCTGGGTCTGATGCCTACGGATTGCCCAGGGATGGTGCTGAGGAAACTCCGCTCTCCTCGGGTTGTTTCCACTCGGAGCTGCTTAGAAGTTAGGGGAGTTATCAGAAACGGTATTTGAAATTTTAGGCTTTATGACCTTTGACGGGAGTCCGGTATTTTGGCATCACTTTCATACTTTGCTTTTAGTCACATGAAGAAATAAATTCCATCCATGAGATCACTCATCTAGATAAATGACCTTTATGAGCAGAAGGAGTCATTGAAGTTCTCTCTCAAAAGTCTGGACAACTCCATAGGAAATAATGAATTACATTTTTTTTTTTTTAAGATTTTATTTGCGAGAAAGAGAATGAGAGACAGAGAGCGTGAGAGGGGGGAGGGTCAGAGGGAGAAGCAGACTCCCTGCTGAGCAGGGAGCCCGATGTGGGACTCGATCCTGGGACTCCAGGATCATGACCTGAGCCGAAGGCAGTCGCTTAACCAACTGAGCCACCCAGGTGCCCCTACATTTCTTTATTTTAGATAAGAAATCTATTTATCTAGACACTCAGACTCCATGAAGGGCAATGGTTAAAAAATACTTTGTATGAACAATGATGCCCCCAGTATTTTAAAGCACCTATATTTTCCAAACCACTGTGTGTGGGTTTCACATCAAATCTATGAAGCAGAGTAGACCTCATTCCCATTTGAGAGAGGACACCACTGAGCTACAAAGGCAAAGGGACTCTGTCGGAAATGGACAGGCTGTCACTGGTAAAAGGGGGGGTCAGGGAGGGCCAAGTACATGATTTGTGGGGCCCGGTCAAAATGGAAATGAGAAGCTCTTTTTCAAAAAGCAGGGAAAACGTGCTGCTAAAGGAACTAAAATATAGGGCTTTTCCTTTAAAAATGTCTTAATACTCGTAAAATATCCTGGGTAATAGTGGTAACTGAGTAACAGTATAAACTTGCAAATTGCAAAAATATTTTTGGGTGTCATAATTTTATGTAATACAGTATGTGCTCCTATAATAATATGTGAAGTCTTCACTGATCATAAGATTTTTCTGACTTTTCCGCAAATGTATTTAATAACTCATCAAGATTTACACTCTTATTAACTTCATTTTCAAGTCATATAATCGAAAGCAATGTCAGTTGCTCTTGGCAAATGCAAGATTGCAAATAATATCTGATAATTTTTAATTTTGAGAAGGAACTTTATGCTGATGCACCTGTTACTGGAACTAATAGTATTGTTCCCTATTTCTTGATACCATAAATTTTTTATTTTGTGATAAAATATGCATAATATTTGCCATTTTAACCATTTATGTGGCATTAAGTCCACTAAGTACATTCAGAGTATTGTTCAACCGTCCTCACTGCCCATCTCCAGAATTTTTTCATCATCCCAAATTGAAACTCCATCCGTATTAAACAGTAATTCCCCATCGCGCTCTTCTCCCAGCATCTGGCAACCACTATTCTACTTTCTGTCGGTAATTTGCCTATTCTAGGCACCACATAAAAGTGGAATCCTACATTTGTCCTTTTATATCTGGCTAGTTTCACTTAACATAATGTTTTCAAGGTTCATCCATGTTATGCTTTCAGTACTTCATTATTGTGAATAATACTGTTAGGAATATTGGTATACAAATACCTGTTCAAGTCCCTGCTTCCAGTTCTTTGGGGAACATACCTAGAACTGGATTTGTTAGATCATGTGGTAATTTTATGTTAAACTTTTCAAGGAACCATCAGGCTGTTTTCCATGCTGGCTGTACCATTTATATTCCCCCAGCAGTGCACACAGGTTCCAATTTCTCCACATCCTCACCTACACTGCTTATTTCCCCCTCCCCCCCCCCTTTTTTTTGACAGTAGCCATCCTACTGGGTGCAAGATAGTGTCTCATTGTTCTAGATTTATGTTCCCTAATGATTAGTGATGTTGAGCATCTTTTCATGTGTTTATTGGTTATTTGTATGTCATCTTTGGAGAACTATCTATTCAAGTCCCTCTTTGCCCAGTTCTTTTCCCCAGCTTTACTGAGATATAATGGACATAAATATTCTGTGAACTTAAGATGTAGATCATGTTGATTTGATATATATCGTGAAATGATTACTACAACAGCATTAATTAACACCTCCCTCACCTTGCATAATTAAAATTTCTTCTTTGTGGAAGAACAATTTAACATCAATTTTCTTAGCAACTTTCAAATATACAATATTGTTAAACTATAGTCACCCCTCTGTATATTACATCCCCAGAACTTTTTTGTCTGTAACTAGATGTTTGTGCCCTTTTACCAATATCTCCCCAATTTCCCCAACCCCTAACCTCTGGCAACCACTTCTCAACTCTGTTTCTATGAGTTCTGCTTTTTTTTGGAATTCACATAAAATAGTGATATCACACAGTATTTATCTTTCTCTGTCTGACTCCTACCACTGAATGTAATGCCTTCAAGTTCCATCCATGTTGTCACAAATAGCAAGATTTCCTTCTTTTTCATGGTTGAGTAATATTCCTGTGTGTGTGTGACATTTTCTTTATCCATTCACTGTAGACAGACACTTAGGTTGTTTCCATACATTTGCTAGTGTGAATAATGCTACAATGAACATGGGAGTATAGATAACTCTTCAAGATTCTGATTACATTTCCTTTGGATATATAACCCAGAAATGGAACTGCTGGATCATATGATCTATTTTTAATTTTTTGAGGAAACTCTATACTGTTTTCTTTCTTTATTTTTAATTTATTTTTGGAGAGTGTGCACATGCATGAACTGGGGGGGGGGGGGGCAGAAGGCTCCACATTCAATCTCATGATCCTGAGATCATGACCTGAGCCAAAATCAAGAGTCTGATGCTTAACTGACTGAGCCACCCAGGCGCCCCTCCATACTATTTTCCATAGTGGCTGTACCAATTTACATTCCCACCAATAGGGCACATGGGGTTCCCTTTTCTCTACATCCTCACCAACACATGTTATTTCTCGTCTTTTTGATAACAGCCATTGCAACAGGTGTGAAGTGATATTGCGGTTTGGATTTGCCTTTCCCTGATGACTGGTTATGTTGAGTACCTTCTCATGTACCTGTTGGTCACCTGGTGTCATCTTTAGAAAATGTCCATTCAGAACACTCAGCCCATTTTTTAATTGGATTTTGTTTTTTTGCTATTGAGTTGCATGAGTTTGGATATTAACCCCTTATCAGATATATGATTTGCAAATATTTTCTCCCATTCCATAGGTTGCTTTTTAATTTTTTGATGGTTTCCCTTGTGGTACAAAAGCTTTTTAGTTTGATGTAGTCCCACTTGTTTATTTTTGTTGCTTTTGGTGTCAAGTCCAAAAAAAATAATCACCAAGACCAATGTCAAGGAGTTCACTCCCTATGTTTTCTTCCAGAAGTTTTATGGTTTCAGGTCTTACATTCAAGTCTTTAATCCATTTTGAGTTTATTTTTGTGTGTGGTGAAAGATAGTAATCCATTTTCATTCTCTTGAATGTGACTGCCCAGTGTTCTCAGTGCCATTTATTGAAACTGTTTGGGGGTCCTTTGTTGTTAATTAGTTGACCATATATGCCTGGGTTTATTTCTGGGCTCTCTGTTTTTTCCCATGGATCTATGTGTCTGCTTTTATGCCAATACCATACTGTTTTAATTGATGTAGCTTTGCAGTATAGTTTGAAATCATGAAGTTATGCCTCCAGCTCTGTTCCTCATTCAGAGTCTTTTGTGGTTCCATACAAATTCAGGATTGTTAGTTCTATTTCTGTGAAAAAAGCCATTGGAATTTTGATGGGAATTGCATTGAATCAATAAATGTTTTTGGGTATAATGGACATTTTAATATTCTTCCAATCCATGGATATCTTTCCACTGTGTCTTCAATTACTTCCATCAATTTCTTATGGGCTTCAGTGTACAGACAGTCCCTAACTTGCGATGGTTCAATTTACAATTTTTGGGGTTGCCTGGGTGGCTCAGTCAGTTAAGCATCTGACTTTTGATTTTGACTCAGGTCATGATCTCAGGGTTGTGAGATCGAGCCCCCATGTCGGGCTCCATGCCCAGTGTGGAGCCTGTTTAAGATTCTCTCTCTCTCCCTCTCCCTTTACCCCTCCCCCTGTTCCCTCTCTTAAAAAAAGTGGGGGCACCTGGGTGGCTCAGTCGTTAAGCATCTGCCTTCGGCTCAGGTCATGATCCCAGGGTCCTGGGATCGAGCTCCGCATCGGGCTCTCTGCTCAGCAGAAAGTCTGCTTCTCCCTCTCCCACTCCCCTTGCTTGTGTTCCCTCTCTCGCTGTGTCTCTCTCTGCCAAATAAATAAATAAAATCTTTAAAAAAAAAAAAAAAGGTGGTGAGAGTGAGCATCCTTGTATTGTTCCTCATGTTAGTAGAAAATTTTTC